CCAAATTGGTGTTCCTTCCAATTGTATCTAACATTTAGTACCAATCTTAGCAAAATAAAAATGAAAAACCCTCTAAGGATGGCATTTTTGACTGCATGGTAGAGGGTAAGTAGATGAACATCGCCCTCCTGAAACTAGTGGATAGGCCCTCTCTTCCTGTTCCTGATCTTGGTCTTTTTCCGGGCTCAGTGTCGCTGGAGAAAACTGCTGCTCCATTCTGAGATGACAGGTAGTAATGAGAGTTCTCAGTTCTGTGTTCTGACAGTCAAAAGAAACCTTGGTGCAAGAGGCAGACAGTGAGGGAAATAAATCTTATTTAGGCGCTGCCAGAATTATGAATTTTATTAAGGGACATTGACTCATTTTACACGAAAAGCCTTCCATTGGCAACAGAAACATAGCCATTGGGTAAAATGTTTTGATACTGTCCCTTCTTTACTGTGGAGAACTTTGCTGACAGATTCAATAGGTTTCATTAATACGTTAGCTTAGATAGCTGTGAGTGTTACCTTCTCCTCTTCTTAACACTGGGCTGAACAGTTAACATCAGAGAAAGAGTTGGAAAGGGTAGGTGGAATATACAGAGCAACGTGTCTAAGAATGAAATGTATTGAGACACTGCTTCCAAATCCTTGAGAGTTTTAAATGTACTGATATTTATAGATGGTTTAAATTTATTTTATTTTATTTTTAGTTATAGGCCTCTGGCTATGGATGCATGGATCCATAGACGCAAGACATAGCCCTCTGAGGAAATAGCTTAGTCCATCATTCATTGTGAAACACTGTTTGGTTTCTTACTAGGTAGATTCATCACTAGGGAATTTGCGTAGTGCAAAATCAAGACTTTTTTCCTTGATCATCTGTGATGTGCTAGGCATGGTAGAGGTACAGAAGGATGGGCTTCCCAATATCTAAACACTGTGCAATGTCATTGAAATATTATAAAGCCTCTCTTGAAAGACTACTAAGAAAGTCAAATATATATAACTGGGATATAGTTTTCTAGCACTCATTGCTGTACCATAATTATTTGGAGATGAAACCAGTGGGGGGGGGGAATCTTTGAGGAGTAGCCTTTGATTTGGGCCTAAACAAACAAACAAACAAAAGGACTGGGGTTGGGGTGGGCCAGTCTTGAAGCCTCCCTTGCTTCATTACGAAGAAACAGTGAAGGGATGTGCCCAGCGGGAGTAGGATCGTAAGACAACCAGTCTACCAAGACCAGAGGGTACCTTTTGAGAGATGAAATTGGAAAGGCTATCACCGAGCTGAATTTTATTTTATTTTATTGGATTGTTTGGTGCACCCACTGCTCAAGGAGCCTCTAGATGCTCACAAATAAGAAGCAGTCCTGTGAAGAGGATATGAAGAAATATCATGGGAGATACCTGACTGTCCCCAGACTCCCAACCTGAGCCTAGGGCATCCATTTAAAAGGATATAGAGAAAACAGTTGGGGAAAGACAAATACTAGGACCCAGCAATTCCTCACAGAGATAAATTCTGTGTGGGAGCAAGGATGATAATCCCTGAGTGTAACCATACGAGCCCTCAGAGTTTCTATAGGATTCCTCTGGTATATAGGCGAACCTGTCCTACACATACTGAGTTATTCTGATTTTGAACCATACTGCTTTGCTTACAATTACATTGATTTTTGTATTAGAAATACAGGTATAAATGTACATTTATAGATAGATACAAGCACACTGTTGCATGATCTCTATTCCCTTTAAGCTCATGGGAAGAAGTTCTGTGTTCAAAAAAGAGATAGAGTGAGGGGAGAAGGAGAAAGAAACACTCCCATATTGGGGTTTTGCTGCTGTTGCTCCTTCTGTGCTTTAAAATGCATAACGTTCAGGACAACCTGGGTAGCAAGAAGGAAGACATGTACAGTGGCTGCCTGGGTTCTGAATTCAGAGGGCATATGTTTCCCACCCCAGTTAACTCTGTGAGGGGAAGAGCTTTTTCCAATCTATTCTTAAAATGAGTAGGGCCATAAGATGTACCCATGCAACCACGACAGGACAGAGAAAAATAATAACCATAAAAAAAGGAAAAAGACTTTGTGGTTGTTGCTACCTGCTACTGAGTCAGCCCCTGGCTCACGGTGACTCCATGCACAAGGGCATAAGATGCTGCCCAGTTCTGCACCATTCCTGTGATCGGTTGTTGATTAGACTGGTGATCCATAGGGCTTTCATTGGCCATTTTTCAAAAGTAGATCACTAGGCATTTCTTCCTATTCTGTCTTAGTCTGTAAGCTCTGTGGAAACCTGTTCAGCGTCATAGCAACGTTTAAACCTCCATTGGCAAATGAGTGGTAGCTGCATATGACATGCATTGGCTGGGCCTCAAACCCAGGTCTCCTGCATGGAAGGCAATAATTCTGCTGACAAACCATTCATACCCTCCAGAAAGAGAGAGAGAGAGAGGAGTGCTACCAGTGGTAAAAAGAAATGAGCTATCACGCTACAAAAAGATGTAACGGAACCACAAATATGTATTTCTAAGTGAAAGAAGCCAGTACAGCTACAGTCATGTGTTGCTTAACATCCAAGATACATTTGTGAAATGGGATGTTATGTGATTTGGGTGTTGCATGAATACTGTATTATATGTAGGCAGTTCCTGGATTACTAATGACTTCCATTCCTCAATCTGTCTTCAAGTCGAATATGTATGTAAACCAGCAGAACCGTTAGGTATGGTATGTATCTAATGCTAGTTAGTTAAATGCTTGTCTCAGTACATGAAGTGTACATTTCTATGCATTAGGGAAAAAAAAGAAAAAAAACAAAAAACAAACCTTCCAGATACGCTAAAACATCTTTACCATAATAATACAGCAATAATAATTTATTATTCATGTCACAAAGTAGTGCCTGTTAGTTATCATGAACCGTATTTAATGTAATAGGTTTTATGGAGCTTGGGACTGCAGACATATATGCCCAAATGGATGTTATGCAGTGCATGACTGTGTAGGACACCCTGGAAAAAGCAAAACTATAGATATAGTGAAAAGATCGGGTCAGTGGTTGCCAGACTGAAGGGAAGGGAGAAGGGATGAATTGGGGGACCACAGAGCATCTTTAGGGCAGTGAAAATATTATGCATGATACTGTAATTGTGGGCATGTATCATACATTTGTGTTTCACCCTGATGTAACTATGTCCTTTAGCTAATAATAATGTGTCAATATTGTTTCCTCAATTGTAACATATGTACCACCTGAATATAAGACATTAATAATAGGAGAAACAGTATGCAATAGGGAACTCTGCATTTCTGTACATTTTTTTCTATAAACTTAAAGCCACTTTAAAAAATAAAATCTTAAAGAAAAAAAAAAGGCTTATTAGAAAGAAGTAGCCCAAGATTCTCCTTGGCTGAGTGCCCAAATACTGTGTAGTTGGAACCATTCAAGCTGCTTGCTTTCGTAGCCAGTTAGTTCAGCCTTTTTTTAGTTTCAGGATGTGTTTTGATCCAAGAGATAGAATGTCATAGAAAGCTCTTTCAAGGGTCAGTGAACACTCAACTTGTGCTCTGTTGTTCCTTGGACATGCAGCGTGCATCTGCAGCCTGGGTGAGTCACTTAGTGAATCATTTGATCTCTTACAGAGTGCTGGGCTTGGGGAGAATGGAGAAGCCTGGACAATTGTGGTAAACAGAGCAGTGTGACTCACCATCCATTCACTGTGGGAGTTGGCAGTGAGATGGTGGAAGATAGGAGTGCAAGAGGGTTACAGACAGACACATAGAAGAAAGGAGGTATTCCAAATGATACCTATTCACCCAGTGGCCTTATGCTAATGATAATCAGAGTGCCCATAGAAATAGAAATCTGTGAGGTACAGCACAGGAAGCTTCTGGAGGCAGACAAGGGGTGTGTGGTACTGAAAAGATTATTAGAGACTAGCTGTGGTGACAAAAGGGTGAGGAAGAGCAGAATTTAAGAGAAGGTCAGTGACATCTCACTGACTCTGGAATTGTCCTTGGAGAGTACTGAAGGAGTATGGCAAATGGATTTGAAACCTTACCAGCTGTATAACCGTCTATAAAATAGCCATAATAAAAGGTCCTGTATCCCAGGGATGCCGTGTGGATTAAATAAGATAATGCATGTGAAGCATTTGGATGTTTGTAAGAGCTTTGTCAATATCAGCTGCCATGGTTATAGTCTGAGGTTCCTCTGTTCATTCTTACAAAGACTTACATTGGCTCCTCTTTGCCTGAAGAATCAATTTCGGCCTCCTTAACTTACATTCACAGCCTTTCCCCAGTTGCCCTCAACCTATTCATCCAATTTATTTCACTTCTACCCATATAAGCCTTAGCTTTCGCCAGGCTTATTCATTCCCTGTCCCTATGTATTCCTTCACTTTGATCTGTGTGAGTAATGCCTTTCCCATTTTCATCAATTTGAATGCTATCATTCTTTGAAGTTCCAACTACATCTCCACAATGTCTGTGAAGCATCCTCGGTTGACTCTTGAGTCTCTTCCTCTGTGTTCCTTTATCACTGGCTGCCTTACATACTCCTCATTTAGGGCCAGGATGTAATGCGTGCTTATCAAGAGCCAAGTCTAAATGTTGCAGTTCTTTACATCCCCCTAATACTCTGCACATACTGGGTCCAGGGGTAGAGCTGATTTGGTCACAGGCAGAACTGGGTAAGAGCGTCACTTCATTAACTTGGTATGTGATCTCTATCCAATCAGTTGCCCTTTCTGAGCCTCCACTTCCTCACCTACAGAATGGAAGTGTTACTACCTGCCTTGCAGAATTTAGGTGAGGAGCAGAGATGACGTATGTGGGGCACTCACCTGTTCTGTGGCAGGTTCCCAATGAATAGAAGGTATCGTTTCATCATCATCATCATCATCATCATCATCATCGTCATCATCATCATCATCATTGATTAAATGAACTGATGTTTGTGTTGCCAGTGTGCCATAGGATCATGGTACTGAATAGTCTCTCTTCTCTGCAGTTATACAGCTCTGCTGAATTTGGCAGGAGGTGGCAGCTTATCCAGGAAGGGGTCGTACCGAACCGATTTTACTGGTAAGTCATACTGTATTTTGTAGCACATAAACATGTCACCTGGGGGATGAGCACCAGAATCTTGTTCCCACCTAGAGTTTCTCCTCAATGCCTGGTTTTATTGGCTATATCCACATGCCAGTAGAGGAGAATGTAATGTTGGAGCAGCAATCATTTTAAGGGAAGGTTAAAGTTGTGTCATACATTTCTTAATTCACTCAAGAGACATCACTGACATTAGTGCATCAGGTAGTTTCTAGGTGTTACTTTGTTACGTTTCAGGGACTTTGCAAGAAGTCTTTGTTTGGTGCTTTATGCACATAGGGCCCAGGGTTGCACTAGACAAAATTTAAAATGGTGATATTTATTGTTAAAATCAGTACACACAAATACATTACATATTGAGAAAGTTTTCAGTATAAATAAGTAGGTCATGTTTACTCTAAAGTTAGATTTCTCTCCCACTCCTGATTTCAATTCGTCCAGACCCTCCTCTTATCACGTAGGACACAACCAGTGTTTGCAGTTTCTTAGTTATCCTTTCAGAAATGTTCTGTGAATTACCAGACACATACAGGTATGCATTCATTGAATACATTTTGGTTTATGCACACTGTTAGGTCTGGGTTGTAATGTGCTATGCCTTTTGTTTGAAAGGATACAGTGAACAAATGCTACGTCATCATTTCAAATGGCTGCATAGCATTTTACTCTAAGGATGTGTGGACAGAGGTGAATCTCAGGCATATTGAACATAAAAAACCAGACTGTATTTGTTGGTGAGATGTGGGTTTCTCTAAAGAACAATGTGAAGAGAGAGGGAGAGGGCAAGAGAGGGACAAAGAAAGTAATATTTGTTTGTTTTTACCACCCTAATCCATTCCTGTGATTAGCTGGAAGGGGCCTCTTTCCATGGGAATGGGTAGTCACCATTGAAACAAAGATAAATAACAGAAGTTAATTTTGAACTTTGAGTTTCCAAACGCCTAGATCCTGGGAACATAAGAGCAAAGTATGGGACCTTCAAATGTAATTTTGACATTACTTGCCAATACCTTCTGATTTTATAGTCTAATTTCTGCCCAAAGATGTGACTCCACCTTATTCTAATTTATCTAGTTAGATGCCTATGGAAAGGATGCTAGTTTCCAGGATTCTGCTAGTATAAACAGTGTTATGAGGTATTTACGCAGACAGTTCAAATATCCCTTGTTCATTCACATCACTCAAAATAATAGGGGCAGTGACCTTTTAGGAACCTATGAGCTCCCTCAAGCGCACGATGAAAGGATGTCATCCCTTTGCTTCTGACGTCACACAGCCTTGTATCAGCCTCTGGACGTGCACACGGAACCCCTCAATAATGCACCTCCCCCTCCACACACATACATACTTCTCTCACTTTTATATAAACTTCTAAGAGGAATGCATTTTTATCTTTCTCATTTTTAATCACTGCCCTGAAACCTCTAAGGGAGTTGGGAGCCAGAGAACTGCATTAAAGAAACCTCTTAAAAACCTGATCAAACTGCCTGGAAAACTGAAAGTCGAGCCATTTGCAAACTAACTGGCTCCAAGATAGCACCAAGAGTGTCTGTATGGAATGATACCATTTTTACTTTTCTATTTTTCATAATGAAGGGTTTTTGTTGCAGAGAAGCTTAGTCACCTCTCCCTCGCTGCGTCCCACGGTCCTTTCTCGGGGTGGTTTGAGTCTTGCTTTCAGGGTCGAACTGGCCTCTCCGTTCGCCAGGGCTTTTCCTTCTGGCTTTACTCAGCCTTCCTTCTCTGATCTACATTTCTTCTCTTCTTCTCTTTCTTATTGTCCTTCCTTTTGTCCCTTATTCTTGAGACATCTTGCTTCCCTATGTATTTGTCTATGAATTATAAAGTAAATTATTGGAAGGTGGCTCCATGTCACTTCCTTTTATTTAAAAAGAAATTTCTTTTCTTCTTTGTTTGGTGCTTTATACACATAGGAGCCAGGGTTCCACTAAACCAAAAAAAACAAACCCACTGCCCTCGAGTTGGATGCAACTCATAGCAACCCCGCCTTAGGTTTCTGAGGCAGTATCACTACGGAAGTAGATTGCCCAACCTTCCTTCCGAGGAGGGGCTGGTGGGCTTGAACCCCACCCTTCTGGTTAGTGTCAGATGCCTTAGGCACTATGCCACCATATATTTCTTTTCTTCGTTTGGTGCTATAAACATGTGAGAGCCAGGGTTGCACTAGTGATTTGCAATTGGCTGCTAACTGTAAGGTTGGCCATTCTGAACTTACCCCGCAGCTCTGCAAAAGAAAAAGTCTGGCAGTCTGCTTCCACAGAGATTGCACCCAAGAAAACCCTATGAGTGGTTCTACTGTGTAACACATGGGTTGCCAGGGGTCCAGGGCCAACTCAGTGACAGCTAAAAACACTAACATAAGTACAGAGGCATGCCTCAGAAAATAACAAATAACTGAGGAACTGAAATAAGTGAATATGGTTCTGCTGGTTCATCCTGGAAATAAAGGTGGTACTTTGTCAATGAGAAAGAGGCACATCTTTCTTCATGGCCTGCTTCCACGTGACTGTATGTATCTGCATGTGGTAGCCAGCAACCGAGGGTGGAAAGCAGCAGTTCACAAAGACTGGATGTTCTGACCGTCAGAAACAAAGAAAAGTGTTGACTAAGAAGGATGGACAAAGAAAAGTGCTGAGATGAGGATCTAGAGCACGTAAGTGGTACACAGTGTTTTCTGGCATTTTAAAAGTCTTGCTTGCACACAGCACTATTGAAGGTGAACGGACCTTATCATCATAAATAGGCTGAGGCTAATTGCAACCTATCCTTATCTGTTCCTTCAAGGGGAGGGGGCTCCATCTGAAACCCTGATTGCCAAAAGCCCTTGGAACTGTACATGCCAAATGTCATATCATAAAATTATAAATGTTTTAATAAATAAAACACTCTTCGTGATCGGTAAGAATTCTCCTTAAATCTGCCCAGTAAAACAAATAGCCCCCCACCACACCAGCTCTGATAACAGGAAAGGACTTCTTCCCACTTTCAGCCTCCACGTTGTGATAAGCACCAGTCAAGACTTAGGCTTTCTAATCCTCATAACCCCCTTATGAAGTTAGCCCTTTCGTTACCATCATCAACAGACAAGGAACCTATAACACAGAGAGGTTAAGCAACTTGACCGCAGTCACACAGCTGGAAAGTGGCAGAGCCAGGATTCACATATGGGTGGCTTGAGTCCAGATTCATGCACTACTCAATCGGTGTGCTCCCTTGCTTCACTGCTTGGTCTCCTTTTCTGGACTGGGACTGTTTGCCATGGAAACCAGCCCACAGAGGTAGATGAGTGAGAAAATACACAGCTCTTTAGCCACCATTCCTGCACGTTTCTCTCCAACGGGGCTTGGCAAATTGCTCCCAGGGGTCCTTTAAGCTTGGTTGTGTGTGTGTGTGTGTGTGTGTGTGTGATTCCCAGATAAGGCCTGAGGGCTTGTAAATTGCACAGTGCCATGACTACTGATACAGATCTATTGGTCTCTGTCCACATGATGTGTGCTTTTCTATTCTGGGCAACTTCCTGAGGCTGGTAGAAAAGGTGTCAGTCAAAGCAATATAATCACCCTTACCTGGAAACCAGTGGCTTCAAAGTACACCCGCTCCATGGGCTATCTAGGATTATTCAGCAAGCTTAATTGAAAGAAATCTCCTTTAACCAGATCTGTCTGGAGCCTAGCTGTGAGGGTGTGGAAGGGACTGAGGGGAATTCTCTAGTGCAAAATCAAAATGTCAGGTGATCCTAGCTGATAACATGGGCTTCCACAGAGAAGAAAGGAAGAGAAATTCCTATCTTTTTCCTCATCACAGCACATCTGAGGAATGTCTGCATTTTGGAGGAGGGGCAATAGTAATAGAAGTAACTGATGATAACTATAAATTAATTATGGAATGTTAAAGCTTATCCTGTTACCCTACCAGAACTTTTTAAGTAGGTATAAACTTTCCTCCAAGGGGTTCAGATCACTTCCAAAATTTACATGTGTGCATATGGCATCTTGTAAAACACTTTGTAGCCCAGTATTCCCTTATAGAATAGGTACCCTTTTTATTTAACTGGCAGTTGTAGTACTCTTGTTCTTTACTGTATCTGGAATCAAGTACAGTGGAAGGCACTACAGTCTGGAGGCTAAGGGGCATCAGAGACACTGAGTTTGAGTTCTAGCTTTCCCATTTACTAAGTGATCACAGAAAGTTACTTAACTGCTGCATGCCTTGTTTTCTTCCTCTGTAAAATTAAGGTCATCAGCACTCATTATTAAATGAGATATTTCTTGAGAAGTGGTTCCATGCCTGGCACCTAAGAATTGGATTGAGTTCCTACTGACTACTAGTAATACTAACAATGACTGATTTTCTACATCTATTCATTTTGTTACTGCATTCTAGTAGCTTTGAAGCCTTATCACATCAAATCTGTGGCTTGACCTGTATTTTCAGAAAAGTTCAGGGATTGAATCTGATCAGACTTGCTTGTATCAAGGGCATACCAAGTGATACATTACCCATGTAGCTAAGGTTCCTATCTACCCTGAAATAGGAGTGGGGTTGTGGCCAAAGCAAACTGCACAGTTTAAGTTTAAGGGAGAGATGATTCTCAAAGTGGGAAAGATGGATTCTGTTATGGTGAGAAGAGAGAGCAGATTCAGTAGTAAAGAGCAGCCCAAAAGTCAGGATTCTGTTTTCCCACCTCCCGATAAGAAAAGATGGAAAAACTGTTAAAATTATAAAGCGCTAAACTCTTTTTTAATAGCTTATTTTATTTTTGTTGTTGTTGCGAATATACACAGCAGAACATACACCAATTGAACAATTTCCACTTATACAGTTCAGTGCCATTGATTACATTTCTCAAGTTGTGCAAATTGTTCTCCCATTAACATGAACTCATTGCTCCCTAATGTTGCTATCTAATTTTTTGAGTTTCTGGTATCACTTTGATCCCATATTGATAGATCTTA